ACTGTCTTCACTTTTTCATTCTTTTTTCTTTGTTCTCCTCTGATTGGATAATTTCAAAGTTCCCATCTTCTAATTCACGATTCTTTTTTCTTGATCCATCCTGATGTTGATTTTTTTTAAAGATTTATTTATTTGAGAGAGAGAGTTGGGGGGGGAAGGCAGGGGAGGGAGAGTCCCAAGCAGATTCCGTGCAGAGCACAGAGCAAGACACGGGGTTTCTTCATCTCATCACCCTGAGATCACGACCTGAGCCTAAACCAAAATTCCGTGGCTTAACCAACATCGCCACCCAGGCACCCCCGGATGATGGTTTCAACTGCAATTTTCATTTCATTCATTGTATCTTCAGCTCCAGAATTTTTTTTTTGGTTCTTTTTTATTATTTCTATCTCTTCGTTAAACTTCTCATTTTGTTGATGTATTGTTTTCCTGATTTCATTGGATTGTCTTTCTGTGTTTTCCTTTAGCTCATTGAATTTCCTTAAAATTATCTATTGGGTAAATTGCAGGTCTCCATATTGAGATTGGTTACTGAAAGATTACTGTGATCTATGTTTCACATTCCTTGAAGTTTTGTATTGCTGTCTCCATATTTGAAGGAACAGTCACCTCCTCTGGTTTTTAGTAACTGCCTTCTTCAATGCATCTAAACTTGTGTTTTTCCTCCAGCTGTGTGCTGGAACTTCTTTGCTGGAAATCTGGACTTCTACAAAGACTCTCTCATCTGTAAGTGATTGTCTAAGACAGTGCTTTCCAGGGGCTCCTGGATGAGAGGAGCTGAGGTTGATTCATGGGCCACTGCAGGGTCCACAGTGGGACCAAGGTATGTATGCCTATCGCCCAGTGCAACATGTGGGTGAGACTCTTTCCAGGTCCCTTGACATATGGTACTGGATCCCACAGCTCCCACAAAAGCACTTTGTCCATGGATGGGTCCCAAATTATTGTTGTTGGGGGTGGGTGGGGACACAAACAAGGGATATCTTATTCAGCCATGATGCTCCCTATACATTAATAGCAGTATACCATATACTCAGTTCAGCATCTTGTATTCCACTTAATATCTTGGAGACCATTCCACATCAGTACATAGACATCTAGCTCATTCTTTTTTAAAAATTATTTTAATTTTTTAGACTTTATTTAGAGCAGTTTTAGGTTCAAAGTAAAATCGAGAGGAAGGTGCACAGACTTCCTATATACTCCCTGCCCCCCTGCCCTCTAAACACATAGCTTCCCCCATCATCAACATCACTTATAGAATGGTACATTATTTAACAAGGATGAACCTACATTGACACATCATAAGTACCAAAAGTCCACAGTTTACCTTAGGGTTCAATCCTGGTGCTATACTTTCCAAAGGTTTGGATAAATGTGTAATAACATGTAACGATTATTATAATAGTATACGAAGGGGCGCCTGGGTGGCTCAGTTGGTTAAGCGACTGACTTCGGCTCAGGTCATGATCCTGGAATCCCAGGATCGAGTCCCGCATCGGGCTCCCTGCTCAGCAGGGAGTCTGCTTCTCCCTCTGACCCTACCCCGTCTCATGTGCTCTCTCCCTCTCATTCTCTCTCTCAAATAAATAAATCTTTTAAAAAATAGTATATGAAGTATTTTCACTGCCCTAAAAATCCTCTGTGCTCTGCCTATTCACCCTTCCTCACCACCCCTGCCCACAGAACTCTTTTTCACAGAAGATATTAGCACAGAAAATGTCCATAATTTACCAAAGTGCTAATGATCCATTGATGCCAATGTCATATGAAATTCTAGAACAGATACCTTATATTGTAAAGAAATATATTTCACTTATTTTATAATTTTTTATTGTTATGTTAATCACCATCATTAGTTTTTGATGTAGTGTTCCATGATTCATTGTTCGTGCATAACACCCAGTGCTCCACGCAGAATGTGCCCTCTTTAATACTATTCACCAGGCTAACCCATTCCCCCACCCCCTCCCCTCTAGAACCCTCAGTTTGTTTTTTAGCGTCCCTCGTCTCTCATGGTTCATCTCCCCCTCTGACTTACTCCCCTTCATTCTTCCCCTCCTGCTATCTTCTTCTTCTTTTTTTTTCCCTTGACATATATTGCATTATTAGTTTCAGAAGTATAGATCTGTGACTCAAGTCTTGCACAATTCACAGCACTCATCATAGCACATACCCTCCCCAATGTCTATCACCCAGCCACCCCATCCCTCCCACCCCCCACCACTCCAGCAACCCTCAGTTTGTTTCCTGAGATTAAGAATTCCTCATATCAGTGAGGTCATACGATACATGTCTTTCTCTGATTGACTTATTTCACTTAGCATAACACCCTCCAGTTCTATCCATGTCGTTGCAAATGGCAAGATCTCATTTCTTTTGATGGCTGCATAATATTCCATTGTGTATATATACCACATCTTCTTTATCCATTCATCTGTCGATGGACATCTTGGCTCTTTCCACAGTTTGGCTATTTATATTTCACTTATTTTTTTTCCACTGCTAGCTTATTCTTTTTAACAGCTGAATATCATCCCATTGTAGGAGTATGACATAATTTAATTAACCTGTTCTTTTCTATTTAAATTGAGGCATGACTGACACATGACATTATGTTAGTTTCAGTGTACAACATAATGATTCAATATTTGTATATATTGCAAAATATCACCACAGTAAGTCTAGTTAATATCCATCACCATACAAACCTGTTCTTCTCTTTTTTTTTTTTTTACAAACCTGTTCTTTTCTGACAGACATTTAGGTTGTATACAGTCTTTTGTAACTATTGACAATGCTGCAGTGAATACTCTGATACACAAGTCTTTTTGTCTCTGTGTGAGTACTAATGTAAGATAAATTTCTAGTAATGGAATTGCTAGGTCAAAAGGTATTGCATTTAAACTGTAATAGTTGTTGCCAAATTGCCTTCAAAGAGACAACCATTTTATAGTTCCACCAACAATGAATGTCTTTCTCTACAATGCACATTTTTGCCAATCTGATAGCTAAAAAAATAGTATCTCACCTTAATTTTAATCTGTTATTATGAGGTGGTTGAGTATCTTTTAATTTTTTTTTAAGATATTATTTATTTGTCAGACAGAGAACAAGCAGGGGGAGCAGCAGGCAGAGGGAGAAGCAGGCTCCCTGCTGAGCAAGGAGCCCAATTTAGGACTCGATCCCAGGACCCTGGGATCATGAGCTGAGCTGAAGGCAGACGCTTAACCGACTGAGCCACCCAAGCGTCCCTCTTTTTGTTTGTTTAGAAGCCACTTGTATTACTTTTCTATGAACTGTGTTCATAGTTTGCCCATTTTATTATTTTAAATTAATATTTAAGAATAAATACACAACTTTCTCATTGTCATTTGCTCAGGAACCTCCTCAAAGGCTGGAGGCCCTTTCAAACAGGTGTTCAGTGGTCCCCACAATCACACCAACTCCCTCTTTCTAACTCATATCAGGCTCCTTCCCCAGTACCACTATCTGTCTCAAGGAAGGGCATCTTTATGGTCTCAACATCCCATACCCTTCCCATGAGCCTGTGTTTGCTCTCCCATCCTCCCCCTCTGGGATGCTCTCTTCTCAGTCAACCCTGACCACTCCTTCTGGGCCCAACTGATTTCCACCTGTCTAGGATGCCTTTCTGAATAAGAGTGCCTACACTACCTAGCGTCTCCTGTGAGCCTTTCCACCAATTACAGCCTATACCGCTGGAAGGTTGGGCTTGACATCTCCCAGAGCCCAGTTTCCTCTCCTGTCTATGCTCAGCATAGAGGGGTCTCAGTGTGGAGTGTGTATTGTGCATTTTCAGCATTTATTGAATGTGTACATGAGTCAGGCACTGCTCTAAGCACTGAGAATATGGCAGCATATGAGACAGAACAAGGTCCCACCTCTCATCCCACTGAAATTTTAGTGTATGTGCAGGTGGCTAATATACAACATACAAGACAATAAACACACATGTGAATATGAACGTCAATTAAATGTACACAAGTAATGGAATAGATGGTGAAGGGAGAAGGGAAAGGGTCTCCTTTGGACAAAGGGGCCAGGGGAGGGATGCCCCTGGAGCTGAGATTCGAGCACAGGCCTGACCATGAGAAGGCTCCAGCTATGTGAAGAACTTTCCAGAGGCCCTACTAGAGGCCCAGTCTGGCGGGTCTGCTCTTCTAAAGATAGACTGAGATGCAGCCGGCCCACAGCGTCTCTCTTTCTGTCATTTGACAGGAACTGAAGGCAGAAGCCTACTCTACAGGTAACTTCAGGGCTCTCTGTGGTGTATGTGGTGTATGCGGGGGAGAACCTGCACCCTCCTGCTTCATATCCGAGCTGCAAACCTGGGAAAATGAAATCATGCTTGACCTGACATTAAATAATGGAGCACCTGCTTCAGGCCAGAGTTCATTTAATCACTTTACACCATTGTAACTTCATACCTTCACAACAATCCCTTGTGGTACTTACTAGTCACTTTATTTTACAGAGGAAAGAACAAACCGAGGCTGGCAATATGGATGCAACCTCTCTAGGTTTGCATGGTTCAGAAAGAAGTACAGTTCCCAGAGGCAGAAGGTCTGTCATGGGGGTCGGGTGGGGTTCCCTGGAGCATTCGGGGAGCACCTTGTTTCCGGAGTTTGCCCGCGGCGCCCCGACAGCGGCCTTCGGCCCCGCCCGGGGCTCCCGGTCTCAGGGGCCAAGGGGCGCGCGGCGGGCGCGCCCGGGCCGGCGGGCTGGGGGCGGGGAAGGCGCGGGGACAAAGGCCGCGGCCACAGCGCTCCGGTCGGCCCGCGCGGCGGCCAACTCCGGCGGCGGTGCCGGGACTCGAGACTCCCGGGACGTTGCCTCGCGCCGCGATGAAGCGCCCCGGGCCGCCGCCGGGGCCCGCGCAGGCCGAGCCCGCCGGCCCGCCGCCCGCACCGCCCCCTCCCCCGCCTCCGCCCCCTCTCCCCCGCCCCGCGGCGGCCGCGGCGGCTCGGCTCTCGGCGAACATGGCGGCGGCGGCGGTCGGGCGGGACACTTTACCTGAGCACTGGTCCTATGGCGTGTGCCGGGACGGCCGCGTCTTCTTCATCAAGTGCGGCGCGGGAAAGCGGGCACACGGGCGTGGGCGCGGGGCCGGGTGGGGTGCGGGACCCGGCGGGCGCCCCCGGAGGGGCGGCGGCGCTAACAGGTGCACCTCTCTCCCGCAGTGACGAGCTCCGCCGCACGACCTGGCTGCACCCGCGCACCGGGGAGCCAGTCAACTCCGGCCACATGATCCGTTCAGGTGGGACTCGGGCCGACGGGGTGGGCGGCAGCGCTCGGGGGGCGCGCGCCCGGGCGGCTCAAGTTTGACCCGACTTTTTTGGCATTTCCGCAGACCTGCCCCGCGGCTGGGAGGAGGGCTTCACGGAGGAGGGAGCCAGCTACTTCATCGAGTGAGTGACCCGGGCGCCGCGCTCGCACCTGTGCGACGGGATCCGACCGGTTCCCGCCGCGCGCCCCCGCCCCCCGCCCCCCGCGCGGGTCCCGGGCGAGTTGGCGCGCAGAGCGCCGCGGCCGCACTCCTGTGGGGTTTTGTGTGCTGGAGTTGTGTGGCGGGCTCCGGGAGAGGGGGCGGCGGGGTCTGCATCTCCGCGGCGGGCCGCAGTCCGGGCCGCAGAGGGGGCGGAGGCCGCAAACTGTCCCCTGGTCCTGCAGTTGGGCGTGATTCGGGTGCCGGTGTGAGGGGCCGGACACTCCTCCCCGCCGGGGTCCCGGGCCGCACCGCGCCCGGCAGTGCCCCACCGGGGTGGGCGGGGGTGGGGAGAATGGAGCTAGGAGTTGCGTCCGGGGTCCGGAAACCGGGGGCTGCGGAGTAGAGACGGAGGGAATCTCGCGTGGGGAGGACTTTGGCTTCGACCGGGTTCTCTGGGGTGGTGGGGGAGAGTCGGAGCCGCACCCCCCTCGCCCTCCAGAGCGCGGGCCAGTGGGGGAGCGGTGGGGGTGGGGAGGGAACCCATCAGCCAATAATATTCCTCGAACACTGCGCGTCTGGGAAAGCCGGTGCTCCACGGGGACAGTCACTCCTGCCTCCGCTAGTCAAGCGGTAGTTGTTCAGAAAAAGCCCGAGAGCGTTGCGCCAATAGCCAGGTTACCCCAGACCTGGGTCTGTGGAGATGAAATCGTGGGGCAGTACTCGAGGGCGCCGCCCAGCCGCGGGCACTAGTGTGGCCGTTACTTTCCCGCTCCGCGCGGGTACCTGTGGTGCTGCGTTTCTCTGTAACGCTCTGCGTGCTCGGCGCGTCAGCTCCCTGCGGTCAGAAGCTGCTTTTGGTCCTTTGCCCAGTGCCTGGCACAGAGTAGACGCTCGGCAAGTCTTTGTTTACGTAATGAATGAACTCTCCGAGGTCTGGACGGTGGTCTGACAAGTACTATTACTTTTGGGGGATATGAGTCAGAATTCCTTTCTTCACCATCTGGAAGCACTGCCAGTCAGTAGTGGAGCAGCCTAGTCGAAGCTCTGTGGTCACAGAAAATCCTGGATCCTCCCTCCCTAGTTTGGGCTCTTGCCTGATGTTTGAAATTCTTGTGGATGAGATTTATGCAAGTGAACACTAGGACTGTGGCTGGGGTCCTGCCTCCTGTCTGTGTTTGAGAGAGAAGTTGGGGAGCTGGCTAAGAAATCAGAACCTCTCATTCAGTGGGCCTGTCTGACCATAACTCCATTCATTGATATTTATTAGATTTCTCCTTGTGTGCCACACATTGTTCTAAACATCGGAACCACAGAAATGAACGAGGCAGACAAGTGTGGGTCCTCATGGAGCTTGCAGTCTAGTGGGGAGGGGGAGCAGAAAATAAGTTTAAAAACTAAGAATAGTATCAGCAGTAACTACTATGCAGAAAATTAAAATAATGTAATGTGATATCAAGTAACTGGGTGGTGGTGTTGGATTGAGGGGTCTGTGGTGGTGTTTCTGAATCAGTGACATTTAAGGTAAAATTTGAGTGTCAGGAGAGAGCCATCCTTGTGTTGATGAGATGGCAAAGCATTTCCAAAAGACATCAGCCAGTGCAAGGGCTTGAAGGCAGAGAAAGCTTCAAGTTCAGAGTGGAGAGGCCAGTGTGGCTGGAATATGGTGAGCAAGGGAGAAGGTCACAAGAGAAGAGGTTACAGATAGGAGAGAGCAAATGGTGTAGGACTTTATGAGCCAGGGTAAGGGCTTTTTAGACTTGCTTCTAAGCCCAGTGAGAAATCACTGGAGGGTTTTAAGTGGGCGGCAATGTGATTTGATGTGCATCTTTAGAAAGATCATTGTCCCTGCTGTAGAGTGGGCTGTATGCAGGTGGCATCTGCAGTGGGTAGGATAGTAGTAGCAGGCTGTTGCTGATGACTTGACTGAGGGGGTAGCACTGGAGATGCTTTCATCGGAAGCAGTCAGATTCAGGCTTGATGATCTGGACATAGTCTGTGAGAGAAAGAGGAGTCGAAGATGACTCCCAAAGATGAGCTCCTGAGTGGATGGTACTCCCGTCACTCAGATGGGAGGGCTGGGAGGAGCAGGTTTGGGGGTGTGGGGGGGGGTGGGGGGTGGGGCATGAGTTCTTGTTCTGACATTTGAGATATGAGTATGTCCACTAGTCAGATGGATGGATCCTGAAGCTCAGGAGAGAGAGAGGACTGCAGAGGTGTATTTGGGTATTGTAGGTGATGTTCAAGGCCACAGGATTAGTTGAACTCACTTTGGAAGAGAGCATAGACAGAAAAATGACCTAAGCCTTGGGACATAGCAGCATTTAGAGGTTGGGAAAAGAGGTGGACCCAGCAAAGGAGACTGAGAAGGTAGGAGGAAACCCAGTAGAATGAGGGGTTCACAGAAGCTTAAAGGACAGAACCTGACTGGAGTAGGTAGAGGGGGAAATATGCGGTGCAGAATGGGGTCAATAAGCATAGGTGAATCTTTCAGGCAGTTTTGTTATGAAGCAGGTTTGAGACGTTAGCTGAGAATTGGGGAGGTTTTGGGTTTGAGGTGGGGGTGCGGGTGTCTGTTTTTTTAGTGGGAGAGGGTAGAGCATGTTTTGTTCTGCTGGGAATGATCCAATAGAGAGGGAGAAATGGATGATGCAGGAAAGAGATGGGACTGTCCCTGGAGCAGTGTTTCTGACAAGGTGAGAGGGTGGGGATCTGCGGATCCTGGGTGTAGGTCTCAGGGGTCCCAGCTGGGAACAGGGCCTTTCATCCATTTGACAGGAGGGAGGGCTGCCCATGTCAGGCCCATGCTAGGGGGCTGATAGGTTCAGTGAGGGGAGACATGGGTATTCCTGTCTGATAGTATCTGTCTTTACTGTGAAGTACTAGGCTAAGTCTTGAGTTGGGGGACTTGAGGGCTGGGTAGGACTCTGTCAGCCATTGCTACAGCCTCCCGCCCTTCTCTCTTTTGCTGACTCTTTTGTGGTGACTCTGTGAAGTTCCTAGTGATTATCCTATAGCAAGCTCTGGCTCCCCACCCCGAGGGTCCTCCCAGGCCTAGGGGAAAGCAGTATGGGACTGATCCCCTACCTTCAAAGGCCAGCCGTACGGGGAGGCTGGGACACTGTGGCAGCCGACTGTATTTCCTGTCTCCTGAGGCAACTTCTTGAGGGACTGAAGGGTTTGGGAGTAATTGTTCTCCTTTTCCTCACATAAAAAATGCTTTGTTTTAGTCAGCTTTCTTAGATTTGCTCTGGTCGTTTCTGAATGTTCTATTTTTTTTTTTTTTTTTTTGGATCCTCCTCTAATATGCCTCAGTTAGAGGGACAAAGCATTGGCATAGCCGGTTTTATTTTCCCCAGTGGATCCTTGGTCTGGAAGGTTGTGTGAGGTTTTCAAGATGCATCAGTTGCTCCTGATATTTAGCAGATGTTTGATACTCTCCAGAGTACCTACATTTCTTTTTCTTTCTTTCTTTCTTTCTTTCTTTCTTTCTTTTTCTTT